CCCCACCTGAGCAGTATCCACTGCACCCGATTTGTTGCCTTTTATCCCTCACTCCCTTCCCATCCTTTCCCCCTGAGTCCCCAGAGTCCATTGTGTCATTCTTACGCCTCTGCATCCTCATAGCTTAGCTCCCACTTATGAGTGAGAACATGTGATGTTTGGTTTTCCATTCCTGAGTTACTTCACTTGGAATGATAGTCTCCAGTCCCATCCAGGTCGCTAGTAGTGCCTTTTGACTGTTCGCTGAGTGATGGAAATTTGTCACACTTTCCATCCCTTCTGTTGCTTTCCTTGTCAATGTATTGGGCATGACAAGGAGGGAAAGGAAAATGTCTCCTGACTACACAGAGTGCAGTCATTGTGCTGTGAAAAATGTCCTGGTAGCCCTGAGCAGGATGGCCACCCCTCTTCCTTACAGACTCATTCCTCCTCTAAACAAGCCAGTCTCACTGATTCGTGGTTCTGTGGCATCTCCAGTGGATTTGACTCATTGTTAAACATGCCTTCCCAGGTGTTTTAAACAGGGGTAGATTTCTCTGCACTAATGCTGAGCGTTGCTTCTTCATCTCTTTTCCTGAGAACTTTAGCTTTACCTTGGCCTTTTGAGATTATTGGGACTGATATGTAGAAACCTGTGTGTTTTGCTGTTCTTGCAACCATGCAAGCATTGGAGATGTGTTAATATTTTGGTGTCTATGGGACTAGAGCAGTTACGGGCAATAGTACCTTTGAAGATAGCATTCATGATGGTTCCTGCCTGGTTATAGGCAGAATCCCTATGTTCCATGTGTTTTTCCACTGAGACTTTTTTTTTCCTTTCCAACTTTCATTTTAAGTGCAAAGGATGGATGTGCAGGTTTGTTACATGGGTAAATTGTGGGCCGAGGGGGTTTGGTGTACAGATAATTTTGTCACCCAGGTAATCAGCATAATACTCAGTATGTAGTTTTTCAGTCCTTATCCTTCTCTCACCCTCCACCTTGCTCAAATAGGCCCCAGTGTCTATTGTTCTCTTCTTTGTCTCCATGTGTACTCAATGTTTAGCTCCCATTTATAAGTGAGAACATGCAGTATTTGGTTTTCTGTTCCTGCGTTAATTCACATAGGATAATAATGGCCTCCAGCTCCATTCAGGTTGCTGCAAAGGACATGAGTCATTCTTTTTTATGGCTGTGTAGTATTCCATGGTGTATATGTACCACATTTTCTTTATCCAGTCCACTGTTGATGGATATCTAGGTTAATTCCAAATGGTTTCTTATGCATCCCTGAGACTCTTGAGCACAGGAGGTGGAGGTGGTAGGGCCCTGCGGCTGCTCTTCCTGCTGCGGTATACAGACAAACAGATGAGGTGTTTAAACACCACCACCAGTAGCCACTTAAGTTGTTTTAGCCTGCAGTAATAAACTTGATCATGAGAGAGTGTTAATTTTGATTTATTAATGTTTTTTTCCACAAATGGATATGGAGATACCCGTCTTCCCCAACTCTCCGGATTAGTCTGCTAGGGCTGCATAACAAACTACCACACACTTAGTGTCTTTTTTTTTTTTTGAGATGGAGTCTCGCTCTGTTGCCAAGCTGGAGTGCAGTGGCGCGATCTCGGCTCACTGCAACCTCTGCCTCACAGATTCAAGTGATTCTCCTGCCTCAGCCTCGTGAGTAGCTGGACTATAGGTGTGTGCCACCACAACCAGCTAATTTTTGTATTTTTAGTAGAGATGGGGTTTCACTATATTGGCCAGGATGGTCTCTACCTCTTGACTTTGTGATCTGCCCGCCTTGGCCTCCCACACTTAGTGTCTTGAAACAACAGAAATTTATCCTCTCACAGTTCTGGAGGCTAGCAGTCTGAAATCAAGGTGCCAGCTGGGCCACACACCATCTGGAATCTCTAAGGGAAGATCCTTCCTGGTGGCTTCCAGGAATCCTTCGCATTCCTTGGCTTGTAGCTGCCTCACTCCAGTTCCTGCCTCCATCACCATATAGACTTCTCTGTATTCCTCTGTGCATACTCTCCTCATCTTACAAGGACACCAGTCATTGGATTTAGGGCCTGCCCTAATCCAATATGATCTTATATTAATTACAAAATTTACAATCTGCAAAGTTCCTATTTCTGAATCAGGTCAGATGCTAGGGCTGTGAATGAACATTAATTTTGGGAACATTTTTCAACCCACTACACCCTCCTAGTAATTTTTCTGTTTTTTGGCAAAGTGGCAAGCATTTCAAACAGTTTTAGTTAATTACCATGTTGTTTGCTAGCAAAAATAGTTTTATTTATAAGAAGCAGCTGAGCAGTCACCTAAATTGAGGACTGTGTTAGGGGCTACAGTTGTGTCAGTCTGGGATGACTGTCATTAGTACTCGCGTCACTGTGGTGAGTGTCGTAGTTATTGATTGCAGACTTAGTTCATTGAAGTTGATGATGAAAGGGAACTATTTTGTTCCCATGCCTTCCCATTGGCAAATCAGCTCCTCCTTGTTCCTAGATCTACTTGAAGAGTCTAAATTGCATGCTAGCAGATACTGTGAAAGACTTGAATCACAATTTGATACATTGTAACAGAGCATGCGGAGAACCACCTAAAGCAGTGTAATGTAAGAACTGTTAAGCAAGAAACAGTGTAGGAGAGTGTGGCCGTTACATGGGAGAGTTCCACAGTTTTAAATGCTTTCATTGATGCCACGGTGAATTCTCGGTAATTGTCTTACTTTTATAGAGTAATAAAACTGACTCAGAATGTTTGTCAGATTCTAGATATTCCTGGGAAGAAAACTGCTGCCAGCCATTATTTTGACATGTAGCTTTTCACGTTTGCAGTGTGTCTGTTTATAATTAATAAAAGTTTATTAATATAACATTAAGCATTTAAGGCCTTGGAAATATTGTAGCCCTGCAGATGAAGGAGGACTAGCCAATGGCTTCGTCTGTGATAGTCTCTAAGCACAACAGTCCCCTACTTACAATGGTTTGACTGAAGATTTTTTTTGAGTTTACAATTGTGTGAAAGTGATATGCCTTCGGTAGAAACTGTGGTTTAAGTATCCATACAACCACTCTGTTTTCCACTTTCAGTTCAGTATTCAGTAATTTACATGATATAGTCAACACTTTATTATAAAATAGGCTTTGTGTTGTTAGATGATTTGCCCAGCTACAGACTAACGTATGTTTAAGGTATGTTTAAGGTATGCTAGGCTAAGCTGTGATATTGGGTAGGTTAGGAGTATTAAATGCATTTTCGACTTAATAAATAGTATTTTCAACTTATGATGGATTTATCAGGACAGGACCTAATCCCATGCTAAGGAGCATCTGTACCTGGAAATGCTTAGAAGATAATGTGCACTTCTGCCCACATGGTTTACATTTGCAAGAAAGTACATTAGCTATGCTTCGAGAAAGCGTGGTTCTTTTAGCTTCCGCCAGTTAACTAAGGACCCTTTTGATTCACAGGAAAAGGAAAAACTAAGATGTGAGTGGGGTTGTCCCAGCTTCCTGCGTTTTCGGAGCAAATAGTAGACGGGTGTGTGATTGTCTTTTTGAACAAAAAAAAGGAGATAAATCCCTCTCCCCACAGACTCCTCTGATATCATTCTGACTTATTAGAGCCTATTTATTGGTACCTTTCAGATGCTGTGTATGGCTTACCTGATATTGAGGCTTTTATCTTGGCAACTGATGCCTTAGGATTTTCATTTCCTTTGAACTTTTATCTGAAGCCCTTCCTAGAAAAAGGTCTTGCCATTGTACTGGCTCTGTGTAGATCTCAATTCTTATTACAGTGGTAGACATTGCTCTTTCTTGCCTCCTTTTAAGCACTGCCTAATTTCCTATACTTCTTGTCTCTAAGTGGGTGCACAGTGGAGTGCCTCAGAGCTTGGAGTCTGGAGCAGGGCTTCCTGGTTGTGCCACTTATTTTACTGGTAACTTAACCTACCTCCAAGATTGGATGGAGAATAGCTGAGTTAATATTTGTAAAGTGTTCAAACTGTGCCTGGTTCATAGTATGCATATGTGTCTTTTTCTTTCTTCAAGATAAACCATGTTCTATATCTTGATTGTGGTAGTGGTTACATGACTATATATGTTTGTCAAAACTCATTGGAACTGTGCACTTAAAAAGGATGAATTTTACTGTATATTAATTATATCTTAATAAACCACACCTAAATTTTTTGTTAAGGCTAACTAACAAACTCTTTCATTCAATCAGCAAAGTGTTTATTAAGTGTTACACAGTGGGATTATAAAAACATATAATTCTGGCCTGGCATGGTGTTGCATGCCTGTAATCCCAGCACTTTGGGAGGCTGAGGTAGGAGGGTCACTTGAGCCCGGTAGTTCAAGACCAGCCTGGGCAATAGAGTGAGACCCTGTCTCTACAAATAATAATTTTTAAAAATTAGCTGGGCGTGGTGGTTCATGCCTGTGGTTCTAGCTACTTGGGAGGCTGAGGAGGGAGGATTGCTTGAGCCCAGGTGGTCAAGGCTGTAGTGAGCTGTGATCATGCCACTGCACTCCAGCCTGGGTGACAGAGGGAGACCCTGTCTCAAAAAAATTTTTGTTTCAAAAAAAAAAACCAAACAAACATGTAATTCAAAGACGCTTGCCAGTGTAGATGAATAAACTAATTATAACACAGGATAAATTTGCTTATTAGCATGACATGGTAAGAGGTGCGGCCAAGCAGCTTATTAGTCATCCAGGCAAGAAATGCTGTAGGGACTTAGAGGCAGGATTGCTTCCTGTAGTCACGAAGACTTCACCAAAGAGTGGGAACTTGAGGTGGACCTTAGAAGATGGGTAGGATTTAGGGAGGTGGGCATTTGGGAGGGCCCATGAATACAGATACAAAGCCTAGGGGTGGAAAGACATGTGGAGAGTTTAGACAACCATGAGAGAGCTGGTTGGATCAAAGTGGATTCTCTCCCACTGTGTAAGGGGCAGCTTTGCCTTCTGGTCTAACACAGCCTTTTTTCTTCATCCGTAGAAAGGTCCCCCTTCTGGGAAAGACCGGGTGAAGAAAGGTGGATCCTACATGTGCCATAGGGTAAGTCATGTCACTAAACTATTTTGTCGTTCTTGTTCTGATAGCAGTTTTATGGATCCATTGTAAATGATAGCCCCGAATGTCTCATTCACTTCTGCAAATGCATACCTAACCCCACTGAAACCAGAAAAAAAGGAGGATAGTCATCTCAAATTTGGTTACAAGCACGGAGACAAGTAACACAAGTAGCAGAGGTTGTGAATGACGTATTGTCAACCACATTTCATCTATTGAATCTTGCCCCTTTGAGAGACCTTTGTTGTCTCGTGAACTGCATCGGGGTGAGTGTATATACCTTTTCCAGCATGTGAATCTGAAAGCACACCCTTAATTTATTTGAGAATCCTGTACATTTCTGGATTTTTTGTTGAGATTCAGGTGAGAGTTATATATGGAGGGCAGATTGTGATATACTGAAATGGAAGCATCCCGTGTTCTGGGTACAAAGTGTGCCTTGTGAAATGAGCATCATTCCCAGAGTGTTTCTTCTCTTCGGGCTATGATTTTAGTGTCTGAGTTGGCTTTCTTCATCAGTTAGAGTGACTTGGTGTTTCATAAATAACCTTTATAAGGAATTTGGAAATAGAATACATCCCTTCCCTTTTTTCTTTGAGTCATATATTTTTCACATCTCCTGAACTCCAGCTTTCTCTCCCTGTGCAGAGATGGCATTTTGCAGATTGTTATTGCTGCAAAGCTTCCCCTAGTAATTTATTCAGTCCAGGTGGTTAGAGACTTAAAACCACCTATAATGGCTCCAAATTAAGTTACTAATTTGATAATGATGGCATTATCGAATTTTGTCTTAAAACAGTGGTTCTCAAACTTTATTCCACATTGTAATCATCTGGGATCTATATAAAATACTGATGTCTGGTTCCTCACTCACCCCCATTCTGATTTGATTTTTCTTCAGTGTGAGCTGGGCATTGCATTTTTTAAAGCTCTCCAGGTGATGAAAACATACGTCCAAGTTTGGGAATCACTAGCCTAAAGCAAATCTCTCTAGATTATATATATATGTGAGTTTGTATGTATGTGTATCTTCTGTATTTCTTAGGATTTTTAATCCAGTGATTCAGGTAGAAGTTCATAAAGCAGAGCTCAATTGATGCTTTAGACCTACACTGATAATAAGATGTAGACCAATTTATCTTCATAAAATCTTTTTTTTTTTTTTTTTTTGGTGACAGGGTCTCACTCTTCATCCAGACTGAGGTGCAGTAGCACAATCACAGCTCACTGCAGCCTCGACCTCCTAGGCTCAAGTGATCCTCCCATCTCAGCCTCCCAAGTAACCTAGCTAATTTTTAAATTTTTTGTAGAGATGGGGTCTTGCCGTGTTGCCTAGGCTGGTCTTGAACATTTGGGCTCAGAAAATTCTTCCTGCCTTTGCTTCCCAAAATGTTGGGATTCACTGCGCCTGGCCTAAAATTCTAGTTTCAATTTTAAATTAAAAGCGTTGTCCCAGGTCTTCCCAATATATTTATATGTTCACATATACATCAGAGTCTTTAATCCCAGATTGTTTCTCTGTTTGAAGTTGTTGCTACAAATGTACCTGGATCTTCTTGCCAGGGAACCAGGCTTCCATGGAAAACAGGTGAATCTCTCTTTGTACAGTAGTGTCTCAAAATCCTAATTGTCACCAGTTATGTCTCTGACATATGGCACTTTTCTAAATTGAGAATCCATTTACTTTCTAAGTAATTGAGGACCAGAAGATTTTTCTTCAAGAATAAATGGGGTAACAGAAGCTTGTAAAAAACATTTTAAGGAAGTAAAGAACATTAACTATCCTAATTCCATGCATAGGAATGTATCTACTTTCATGTTTATAATTTTTAGATTACTTGTAATCTACATTTTTATAAGCTTCCCAGTAGATTCTTTAAAAATATCTTTTAACCTCCTACATACTTTATTAAGTATGCTTACATGGTACTGATTTTTGTATGTTCATCTTGTATCTTGCAACCTTGCAAAACTCATTTATTAGTCCTAGTAATGTTTTTGTAGATTGTATTGTATTATATTTTCTACATAGGTGATCATATGATCTGTGAATGTTGACAGTTCTTCCTTTCTAATCTAGATGCCTTTTATAACTTTTTCTTGCTGTATGTCATTGGCTAGAACTTTCAGTATAGTGTTGAATAGGAATGATAAGAGTAGACATTCATACCTCATTCTTGATCTTAGGGAATAAACATTCAGTTTTTCAAAATCAGATATGTGTTAGCAATAGCTTTTTCATAGACGCCCTTTACAGCTTGAGAAAGTTTTTTTCCATTGCTAATTTTTTGTGAGTTTTTTTTTTAATCAGCAATGGATGTAGATTTTGCTGGGTGCTTTTTCTGCATCTATTGAGATGATAATATGATTTTGCTTTTTCTTTTTTCTTTCTTTCTTTCTTTCTTTCTTTCTTTCTTTCTTTCTTTCTTTTTTATTATTATATTTTAAGTTCTAGGGGTACCATGTGCATAATGTGCAGTCTTGTTACCATGCTCGTACTACCTTGTCCATGTTGGTGTGCTGCACCATCAACTCGTAGCACCCATCAATCGTCATTTCATCAGGCTATAGACTCCCAGTGGCCATCCCTCCCCTCCCCCCTCCAATTGATAGGCCCGGTGTTGTGAATGTTCCCCTTCCGAGAGTCTACAAAAAAAACATAAAAGTGAATCTCATTGTTCCAGGTCCACCTATGAAGTGCAGACACCTGTGGTGTTTGGTTTTCTGTTCTTGTGATATTTTGCCTGAGAATGATGGTTTCCAGCGCTGCATCGCATGTCCCTACAAAGGACACAAACCTCATCCTTTTTTATGGCTGCCATAGTATTCCATGGTGTATATGTGCCACATTTTCTTAATCCAGTCTGTCACTGATGGACATTTGGGTTGATTCCAAGTCTTTGCTATTGTGGAATAGTGTCCGCAATAAACATACGTGTGCATGTGTCTTTATAGCAAGCGTGATTTATAATCCTTTGGGTATATACCCAGTAATGGGATGGCTGGGTCATATGGTACATCTAGTTCTAGATCCTTGAGGAATCGCCCAATACTGTTTTCCATAATGGTTGAACTAGTTTTACAATCCCACCAACAGTGTAAAAGGTTCTATTTCTCCACATCCTCTCCAGCAACCTGTTGTTTCCTAACTTTTTAATTGATTGCCATTCTACACTGTGTGAGATGGTATCTCATTGTGGTTGTTGATTTGCATTTCTCTGATGGCCAGTGATGATGAGCATTTTTTCATGTGTCTAAAACATGTCTAAAACACCAAAAAATGTCTAAACACCAAAGCAACGGCAGCAAAAGCCAAAATTGACAAATGGGATCATTAACTAAAAGAGCTTCTGCACAGCAAAAAAGAAACTACCATCAGAGTGACAGGCAACCTACAGAATGGGAAGAAAATTTTTGCAATCTAACTCATCTGACAAAGGGCTAATATCCAGAACCTACAATATAAAAGAACTCAACAGACAAAATTTACAAGAAAAAAACAAACAACCCCATCAAAAAGTGGGCAAAGGATATGAACAGACATTTCTCAAAAGAAGACATTCATACGCCAACAGACACATGATTTTGCTTTTTCTATCTGTTCATATGGTGAATTACATTGATTTTCAAATATTAAGCTATCCTTGCATTCCTGGGATACGTATCATTCCACTTAGTCATGATGTATTATCTTTTTTGTACATTTTGGATTTGATCTGCAAAAATTATGAGTGAGTATTTTTGCATTTAGTTTATTCTGTGTTTTCTTGTAATATCTTTGTCTGATTTTGGTTTCAGGGTATTGCTGTCTTCATAGATTGAGTTAAATATTAACTTATTTTACATTTTTTGCAAGAGTTTATGTAGAATTAGTGTTATTCTTGAAATGTTTGATAGGATTCCTTGGTGAATGCATTTGGGCCGAGAGTTTTAACTATTAATTAATTTAGAAAACAGGATCGAATTTCTAAACTCAAGCAATTGTCCTGCCTCAGCCTCCCTAGTGGCTGGGACTATACATATGAGCCAGTATGCCGATTTTTTTTCTTTTACTATAGGCCTAATTTTTAAGATAGACGTGGGACTATACAGCTTATCTGCTTCTTCTTGAGTACATTCTGGTAGTTTGTATCTTTTAAGGAATTTGTCCATTTCATTTGATTTATTGTATTTATTGGCATAATCTCTGCCTTTCTTTGGGTGTTTAGACTATTTATATTTAACGTGGTTTTTGATATGGTTGGGTTGAAATGTGCCATCTTGATTTTTTTTTCTCTTTGTCTCACCTGTTCTTGTTCTCTGTTTGTCTTCCTTTTGATTGCATACTTTTTATCACCCCATAATACTTATTAGCTGTAACTCTTTGTTTTATAATTTTAGTATTAATTTAAAGTTTATATTACACATTTTTATCTTTTCTTAGCCTACCTGAAGGATTTGTTTTAATTTAGTTAAGTTCCATATGATGGGCATAACATTTTAGAAGAGGAGAAGAGCAGAGTGACAAAACTGAGTGGGATCCACAGGATTTTCCATAGAAAAATGTCACTTCCAGGATCTTGGTCAAGTGAATTGTTTATTAGGTTGGTCTTTAACATCAGTCTGATTATATCTGTAAGGTCAAGAAAATAGCACAGTGTTGATTGTGAATTATTTTCAGAGTGCTTAGCCTTTCCAGTAGATTAAGAGTGACAGCTTTTACTAAATTATTGGGATGTGGATTAGGGAATTACATCTGGATTGGAGTTCTATATCTGTTTCTTGCCAGGTATGTGACCTTGGGGAAATTACTTAATCTTTCCAAGCCTCAGTTTTCACATTTGTAACATGCTATAATTATACCCATTATAAGATTCTGGTGAAGATGCTATAATTATACCCATTATACCCATTATAAGGTTCTGGTAAATGAACCAACATATATAAGTTCTTGGTACAGTGCTTAGCTTGTGGTAAAGGCTCAGTAAAAGTTAGTTGCTCCTATC